CAACAGTTAGAACTGGATATGGAACAACAGACTGGTTCTAAATCAGGAAAGGAGTACATCAAGGATGTATATTGTCACCCTGCTTATTTAACTTATATGCAGTGTACATCATGAGAAACGCTGGGCTGGAAGAAGCACAAGCTGGAATCAAAATTGCTGGGAGAAATATCAATAACCTCAGAAATGCAAACGATACCACCCTTATGGCAGAAAGCAAAGAAGAGCTAAAGAACCTCTTGATGAAAGTGAAAGAGGAGAGTGAAAAAGCTGGCTTAAAACTCAACTTTCAGAAAACTAAGATAATGGCATCTGGTCCCATCACTTCATGGCAAATAGATGGCGAAACAGTGACAGACTTTATTTTTTCAGGCTCCAAAATCACTGCAGATGGTGATTGCAGCCATGAAATTAAAAGACGCATGCTCCTTGGAAGAAAAGTTATGACCAACCAAGACAGCAGAGACATCATTTTGCCGACAAAAGTCCATCTAGTCAAAGCTATGGTTTTCTCAGTAGTCATGTATAGATGTGAGAGTTGGACTAAAAAGAAAGCTGACTGCCAAAGAATTGATGCTTTTGAACTGTGGTGTTGGAGAAGACTCTTGAGAGTCCCTTGGACAGCAAGGAGATCAAACTAATCAATCCTAAAGGAAACCAACTCTGAGATATTCACTGGAAGGATTGATTCTAAACCTGAAACTTCAATACTTTGTCTACCTCATGCGAAGAGATGACTCACTGGAAATAACTCTGATGCTGGGAAAGATTGAGGTGGGGAGGAGAAGGGGACGACAGAGGATGAGATGGTTGGATGGCATCACAGACTCAATAGACATGAGTTTGAGTAAACTCCGGGAGTTGGTGATGGACAGGGAGGCCTGGTGTGCTGCCGTCCATGGGGTGGCAAAGAGTTGGACAGAACTGAGTGACTGAACTGAATCTGAAGGGGTTGGGTACACTTGGAAAAGGTTTGAAGGCTGGGTAGAACCTGAATTCATGAAAGTCCCAGGATGCAAAGACACCAATGATGATTGATGCCTGTAGGGAAAACTGGTTCTCAGGGACCCTTTAAAACCATAGCATACTCTGACTGTTCTTGCAAGTATAGCTGACTGGTCAATGACTATTCCAGCATTCTAGCATATTTAAATATGCTAGAGCATATTTAAAGGGGGAAAATCTTCCCATTTAATCTCCTGAGAACCATATTCTGGAGTTTGAGATGATGAGAATGGTTTGTGCATGTGACTGTCATTCACTTTACAAACTTATGGCTCTTTGCTCTTCTAGATGACTTCTCAAATCATAGCTGGAACATGACTTTCTTCATGATCATTTCCTATATCCTCACTCTTTTTTTTTTCTTTAGTAATTGGCAAGCTCCAGGTCAGAAATAAACTTTACTTTATACCATATATGATGACAGTCTCTTATGTTTATGCCACATCATACAGCTTAATTACCTGCTTCTGGACTGAGAACTGTTCCCCATGGGGGAGGTAGAGAGGTCCAGTATACAGATGAGGAAACCAAGGCTCAGAGAGAGGAAGTGATTTGCTTGGGGATACACACTTGTGAGTGATGGGAGGTGGCTGTGCAAATTAAACCTTTTAGAAGGTTTGAATGTCTGATTCCTTGTCTACCCAAGGATTTGGTAGACAAATCCATGGGTAGAGAAACTGGCCAGATATATCAAGATGGCAAATAGTAGGTTTAACAACGTTGCTGTAGTAGCTGATGATGGAAAGAGTCCAGGTGCTCACATTTTAGGCCAGTGGGATTCCTGCACCTGAGGAGATGTTGGAATTTGGCAAACTTTGCCTGGCAAGGGCCAGATAGCGAATATTTTTGACTTAGTTACCACTACCCAACTCTACCGTTATATTATAAAAGCAGCCATAAAGACATTGCTAACAAATGGGTGTGTCTGTGGCCCAGTAAAACTATTTACAAAACAGGTGGCAAGTGGAATTTTGCCTGTGGTCATAGTTTGCTGGCCCCTGGGCAAGATGATCCTCTGTCTTGGGAGGAAAATTTTAATATTAAAACTGATTCATATGGATGAAACTGGAGCCCATTATACAGAGTGAAGTAGGCCAGAAAGATAAAGACCATTACAGTATACTACCACATCTATATGGAATTTAGAAAGATGGTAATGATAACCCTATATGCAAAACAGAAAAAGAGACTCAGATGTATAGAACAGACTTGTGGACTCTGGGAGAAGGCGAGGGTGGGATGTTTCAAGAGAACAGCATTGAAACATGTATATTATCTAGGGTGAAACAGATCACCAGCCCAGGTTGGGTGCATGAGACAAGTGCTCGGGCCTGGTGCACTGGGAAGACCCAGAGGGATCGGGTGGAGAGGGAGGTGGGAGGGGGGACTGGGATGGGGAATACATGTAAATCCATGGCTAATTCATGTCAATGTATGACAAAACCCACTACAATATTGTAAAGTAATTAGCCTCCAACTAATAAAAGTAAATGAAAAAAAACTGATTCATTTATTTTATCTCATTTTTAAGCATTTCTATTTTATGAATATGTTTCACAATGTACATGATACTTCAGTACAATGGTGCACGTGTGCATGCTAAGTTGCTTCAGTCACATCTGACTCTTCGTGACCCATGGACTATATAGAACCCACCAGTCTCCTCTGTCCATGGGATTCTCCAGGCAAGAATACTGTAGCGGGTTGTCAAGCCCTCCTTCAAGAGATCTTCCTGACTCAGGGACCAAACCTGCATCTTTTACTTCTCCTGCTTTGGCAGATGGGTTCTTTACCACTAGCACCACCTGGGAAGCCCAGGACATTGGTATATATTACAGGTAAATATATTTTTATGGTGCAAGTTCAAAACTTTTTAACTTAGTAAATGAATCACAGCTGACATTTAATCAGCAGATACTTTATGGCAGGTGTTTCTCTAAACACTTTCCATGGATTAATTCACTTAATCCTCACAACTACCTCACAATACCCGGAAGGTATTGTTTCCGTCTTCATTTTGCAGAGAAGGAAACAGAGGCACAGAGATGAACTTATATGATCCAAAAGCTTACCCACCACCTTTTAGGCCTGGGAAATCCATGAGTGCTGTGGTCCTGAGTTTAGGAATTCAAGTTTGAGGCAAGGGGTATATACACAGCATTGAATCAGAGGCCCAGATTAATACTTAAACACCAGCTTCAAGTCTTATCACATGTTAGAAGCTCAACGTTTGCCAACTCCTCTAGGTAGGCACCATGAGAACCTGATATTCTGTAACTCTACAATCACTGTGCAAAGAAGGTATTATTTTTCCCACTTTACAGATGAGGCAGCTGAGGTTCAGAAAGAGTTTGAACTGATTCAAGATTCCACTGCCAGCAAGTAAAGGGCTCAGTTGGGAGTGAAATCCAGCTCTTGCCTAACTCTAAATATCTGATTCTTGGCCAACTTACTGCCCCTTGGACACTCTTCATGCCCTCCAAATAAAGGTGTTCTCAGGGGACTGGTGTTCCACAGACTCTACAAAATCGGAGCTCACTCCTTTCTTGGTGGGAGAAGTTCCAGAGCACATGGTCTGCCCCACACGGCTGTGAAGCCAGAGCTAGTCCCAACCTGCCCAGGACTTCCTTAGGAAGAAGCCTTGTTCTTCCCTACGGATGGAGCCTGAATTCAGAAGTGTGAGCTCATGAATAAGCCAGATGTGGTTTGAACTGCAGCAGTAAGTCTTGATAACTGAATGAAGAAGGGAAACACAGAAAGAAGGAAGAATGAAAAGAAGTGAGAAAAAAGGTGGGTCAGGCAGGAGTAGCAGTGAGCAAGCTACTTTCTGAACCTCCGTTTCATTATGCACAACATGGAAATGGTAGTAGCATCCTCCACATATCTTGAAGATTTAATGATTTTGTGCATATCCAGTAGATGCTCTATTACCTGAGGTCAGACGTGAGGCTTTCTGTCTTTTTCAGAACACCTGGACCAATTCTGGGGCTGAGGTCAGATAAGAGCACCTTTCCCCCACCACATACTGGAAGAGGTCTCAGAGAACAAAAGTCTACACAAGGTCCTCAAGGTTGGCTGCTGTCTGCTGGGATATCCCAACTGTCTTCCCTCCAGACCCAGAGTTTATATCCCAGTATGTAAGGTCTGGGTAATGGCTTAACAGAACCAAAGATTGTCCTTTGCTTGACACTTAGGTTGACCCCAAGGCCCAGGGCCAGACTAGTGGCTGTGAGGGGCCAGATGGTCAGGTTTATACACAGTGGTAAGTGGCCTGCTGGGATACCACCAGAGTCTGCGATGCTCTGGGCACTTTCTGTACCACTTTAATTTATATTTATTTACTTCTTTTTTTTTTGGTCGCACTGCTCAGCATATGAGATCTTAGTTCCCCAGCAAGGGATTGAACCCGTGTCCCCTGCAGTGGAAGTGCGGAGTCTTAACCACTGGACTCTCAAGGAAGTCCCACTTTGATTTATGTTTAGTTGTTGTTTTCTGCATCTGTGACCTACTAGCTTCCTTCCTTCCTTCTATCTCCCCTTCCTTTTATCCGTCCTTCCTTCCATCCTTTCCTTTTCCAATGCCTCAAACTCTGAGCCACAGCTCTGCGCTATGCCCTATCCTGGAGACAACAGCACATTCCGCTCTAGGGTTTTAAGAGGAGTTGGGGGGAAATGAGAGGGAAGGGGAGGCAAAGGAAAGAAGAGCATGGACAGAGGAAGAAGTGAAGAAGAAAGAAGAGGAGGGGGAAGAATAGGAGAGAAATGGTAAAGAGAGGCAGAAGAGATCAGGAAAGAGGCAGAAGAGAAGCAGCAGATACAAGGAGAGAAGGGACGGCAGAAAAGGGGAAGAAGAAGAAAAGAAGGAGGAAGAGGCAGAGGAGGGCAGACAGGCCCCTGGAGAGCTAGCATGTCTAGGGCCCCTCAGCCAGTCCTGCCGATTCGCAGCTGGTGAAGATGCCTAAGCCCCAGTCTCACCGAGGGGAGCTCGTGAATAAATACCTCTGGGTAGGAGCAGATATCTGTAAACACAGCTGAGGAATTGAAAGTCAGGTTCTTCAAGGGTATCGACTTGTCAAAATCACACCACAGCTGCGGATTAAGAAAAAAAAAACAAAAACAGAAAACAAAACAAAACAAAAAAAACACAGGAACAACAAAGTCAGTGTGAGCTGGAGACGGAGTCCTGTGCTATTGCTGCGGGGCTTCGGCAAACAACTGGGGCCGACCGGGCCCTCGAGGGGCTGGAGTTCAGAATGCAAGCCCAGCTGGGATCTTCTGTTTCATTTTAAAGAAAGGACTGGCTCAGAAAAAAAATTCACAAGCCAGTCACGAAACTAGGGTAAGACTGCTCCACCAGCTCCGTCATGGAGGGTCGCTGGAGTGTGCTTGTGGGGCTTGGAAGAGAGAACCAGGTGGGGAACACTCACAGCCTGTCTGCACATGAACAGCTGGGGGGACTCAAGGGACCCACAGGGCATGCTTTCCAGAAAGACTCTTAGCATTGGGGTGGTGGGCATTTCCCAGGCTAGAAGTTGCTGCAGGAGATCTTGCGGCACTCAGAAGAGAATAGCTACCACTGGCTGAATGCCTAGGCTGTGGCAGACACTTTGCACAAAAAAGGTATCACAACCCCCTTGTGATGTAGCTACTACTTTTATCCCCATTTTACAACTGGAAAATATGAAACTCTGAGAAGTAAAGTAACTTGTCCAGGGTCACCAAGCTGGTAAGTGGTGGAGGTGAGATTTGAACACAGGTCTATCTGACTCCAAAGCCTCTGAACTTCCTCCCACAACATTGTTGGACGGTTGGCCCCAGTGGCAACCCTGACCTACAGTCACTGGGACACCCCAGAAACATCTGATTCATCGAGAGTTGAGATCCTGGCTACAGCTCTGCAGTCCGTGATCAATGACTAAGGACTTCTGGTTTTAATTGCCGTCATCTATAAAATGTTCATTAGATGAGGAATTTAATTAGACTATGATTCCCCTTTTCTTTGTCCCATAGACTCTTTACAACAAGGCCAACCACAGAGCTTGAGCAACGTGGACACTAGGTAATTATTGGTCCAGTGTGAACAATGGATTTCAGGCAGTGTAAATCTCTGACTTATGGGCTGACAACTGTGGGGGTCCAACAGTTGGGCTCCCTGAACACTTGGAGACCCTCCCTCAGGCCCAAAGGATACAATGATGGCTTTGGCCACAAGATGATGCCTTAATTAATCTCCTTCAATGTTCAAAGCCTGGAATCAGATAAATCTCTCCTAAACATCTAGGTTCCTAAACCATGGACAACACAAGACTATTGGGATAGACACAGAAAATGCCTATAACTACCACGTTATCATTCTAGAGAGAATATGAATTCACTGAAGCATGGATCACCAAGTTAAAGACAGTGATAAATATGGCAGTTGGAGATTCATCCGAGTTCGATGTGTCACATCCGGTATGAACACTTAGAATGTCATAGGCAAGATGCTCAACCTTCCTGAAAGGCAGCTTCCGCATCTGTTAGGTGGGAACGGTAATACCTACCTGTGGCACACAGTAGGTGCTCAATAAATGACAGCTACTTATTTCCATTCTCCCCGCTTCCCCTCCCACAGATACAATTGGGCTAACGAGAATGAGCATGAGTCATGGAGTCAGACAGACCTTACTAGCAAGTTATTTCATGTCTCTGAGCCTCAGTTTCCTCAGCCGTAAAGTGGGGATAAAGAGACTTACCTCACGGGGTTTATGCAAGAACTAAATATGGAAAGCACAGACAGCTTCTCCTTCAGAGCATGGCACACAGCAGGTGGGAACTTAATGAGGAGTAACTCTTGTTTACGACTTTAATTGACTGGCCACTGAAGTACAGAAACTTAAGGGCACTTACGGTGTCTCTAGAGCAAATAACCTCCACCACTGAGAAAAAGACCATTTTCCACCAGTAAAATGCACGGTTCTGACAGTATAGCCACATCTTCCTTCTCTAACCCTGAACTTGGGGTTTGACCAGATACACGAAGGCATTAATAGTTAGTTCCAAGGAAGGCAATGCCAGAGGCTGCAGGTTCTATAAACTCTTCATTCCTGACTACACACTAGACACCAAAGGACTTGCAATGCTTACGATATTTAGGATGGCGCCCAGGAAATTAATCAAGATGGATGCAAAGATGATGACGTTCCTGGCCAAATAGGTCTCGTTAATCCAACAGCAGGTCTTCCGGAGGACCAGGGGCAAACACTTGTAATCCTCCGCTGTAGTGATGAGGACCAGAGCCGAGTGCAGCATGATCAGGATGGAAAACTGGATGGCCATGGGCATCACCCTGTGGGAAACACAGAATGTTGGGTCGCGTGGCATTAATGATGGGATCCCCCTTCACTGTGTAACCCTGTCAATCATGTTCACAATCACCTTTCCCTTCTCCTTGCACCCAATAATTCCTCTAAAGCTCTGTTTGCCCAGGAAAGGGGCTATTAACAAGAGACTTTTCAAAAATTACATCCATCCCTATAAAGTATTCTCTTGAGAAACTTGGCAATGAACATCAAATATTGGACTTGATCTATTGCTTCTGCCCATTTTTTCCCACTTATTTCATCATTCCTCTTTCTCACTTGGCAGCTGCTGCCAAGGCAACACACCACTGGAATTTTATCTGAGTACTCTGGCTGTGGGAGAGCTCCATATGCCCTTTGCCCCTCAAGGTGGGTGTTAGGAAACACTTTCCCCCATGACTGCTCCAATACTGAGAACTGAACATGGCACCTCTCCATGTGGCTCAGTTTGGTTAGTGATTGTCACAGTTTGCAGAGGCTACACTATGTGCTGTGTGGGAGGTGGGTATCAGTTCAGTTCAGCTCAGTTCAGTCGCTCAGTCGTGTCTGACTCTTTGCGACCCCATGAATCGCAGCATGCCAGGCCTCCCTGTCCATCACCAACTCCCAGAGTTTACTCAAACTCACACCCATCGAGTCGGTGATGCCATCCAGCCATCTCATCCTCTGTCGTCCCCTTCTCCTTCTGCCCCCAATCCCTCCCAGCATCAGTGTCTTTTCCAATGAGGTGGGTAATATGACTCATATTTGCCTAAGGCTTCAACATCACTCCCAGTTACACATCTGGAGCTTCAGCGCTATGTCCCATGGTAGCTCCTGCCTACTGGGCACCTCTGCTGGGTGTCGGGTGGTGATCTAAAACCCCGTCTCTGGAGGCATCTGCTTCCTCTCCTTATCAGCCAGCTTATCACCAGGATTCTCCGTGGGGATTCATCCTTTGTTCCTCTACTCTGCCCAGCCATTTGGGTCCTTTGCTGGCTCCTCAAGTTTCCCTACCTCTGTTTTAGCCAGAGAACTGTTGTCTGTTACATGGTGTCTTTAGGGACGTGGTAGGAGGTTTCACATCTGTTCCTTCCTCCATAAAATGAAGTTCATTCGTTTGGCTTTAATATTTTGGCTGGAACTCAATAAATGTACATTGAGTGAATGAAGTTGAACACACCTTCTTTTTTTTTTTGGTCACACCATGCAGTATGTAGAACTTCCCTAGCCAGGAATTGAACTCATGCCCCCGGCGGTAGAAGCACAGTGTCTTAACCACTAGACCACCAGGGAAATTCCTGAACCCATCTTCTGCTGGCGCTACCACTTCTTACTGTCTTGTCTAAATTTTCTTATTTCTTATGACTAACACTATCGTAAGTACCATTTTGAGCTCTTGATTATGTCCTTAGGCACGTGCTGAGCACTTTATATCAATACATAATATCTCATTTCCATTCCTCAGAACAAACCTAAGAGGTCTTTTGATCTCTTTTTTCACATTAAGAGTTAAGGCTCAGAGAGCAGCAACTTCCCAGGAGTTACTGAGTTGGTAAGTATTAGAGTTAGGATTGAAAGTCCACTCTGCTTCACCACTTTGCTAAGTCCAGCCATTTTGGTGAGTAATGTAGGTCCCATGATTGCAGTAATCTTTTTTGTTTCTGTGGTTTTATTGTGAATCTTTATTCATTCAACAAGCTTTCTTCCTAGGGTACCTTTCTTCAGGGGTACCAAGATGAAAGATACATTTTGCCCATCTTCTAGGAGATCATAATCTAGAGGGGGATATGGATATGCAAATAATGAACTATTACATACTGTGTTGTGATAGAGAAAAGGTAATCAACAAACATGATTTAAAAAAATAAGAAAGGAAATTGAGGAAGACTTCCCAGAAGAGGTGACATTCGGCTTAGGCCTTAGAGATTGAAGAGTAGGATTTTAGGGAGGAAAGATTGGGGAATGTGGGCAAAGTAGCAGAAGAATGGGAGTGACCAGTGTGTAGACTGTCAATTTCCTCTGCATGGTCAACCATCATGAAGGCTGGAAAGTGACTTCTCCTATAGTCCAGATATCCTTGTTGGAGGGTTTTTTTTTTTAATGCCTGCACAGTTTTGATTCTATGAATCACCTTGATAGGAAGTCTCTGCAGGAGTTTAAGATAAGAACAGAAGGTCTGTGCAGCAGTGGGTTCCCAGAGGGCTCCACACAGATGGGAAACTTCCCCCCAGACAGGGTGGAAAAACACTCCCTGACAACACACCATTATTCCTGGGCACCCAGGGGAGGCAAACGACGAAGAAGGCAGGCAGATCACTTTGTCAGGTGCTCCCAGGAGAGAAGGGGCCAATTCCAAGGCTGATGCTGATGCAGCTTAATAATGTGAGGCAGCCACTGAGAATACGTGTTCCAAAGCGAAGGCAGAGGCAAATCAGGCAAGGGGGGGTCTGAAAGCAGCTCAGCGGGAGACTCGGACTCTTTGAAGGTCAAGGCTGCCATCTGGGTGGTCTACAGACCTCCGCAGGGTGTACCGGCCTGGCAGGTTCTCACCGCTGCCTTTTTTCTTTCCCCACCTCTCTGTACCCTCTGGGCAATTCTTAAGCACAAGCCCTGTTCCTCCTACCTCTGTATTTTCTCACTCTCTGGGGGTGGTGGTGGTGGGGTGCAGGGCAGGGACATCCTGGTCATTCTTCAAGGCTCAGCTTTCTTTGGATTCTTCCAAGACACTTGGCATAAGGCTTGTGCTTGTGCTAAGCCGCTTTGGTTGTCTGACTCTTTGCAACCCCGTGGACTGTAGCCTGCAAGGCTCCTCTGTCCATGGGATTTCCCAGGCAGAGTGGGTTGCCATTTCCTTCTCCAGGGGATCTTTCCAACCCAGAGATGGAACTCATGTCTCTTACATCTCCTGCATTGGCAGGTGGGTTCTTTACCATTAGCGCCACTTGGGAAGCCCTGGCATAAGGCTAAGTACACAGAAAGTGCTCAATAAATACTCACTGACTTGTGTTTTGTGGGAGAGAAGACTTTCTCTTCTCATCAGCCCTCCATAGGCTGTATTCCTATCCACACTTCAGCCCCTCTGCCTGCCCTCCCTGATGCATCCGTCCGCATTCATCTGGGGTGTTCAGTGGACCTGGTTCTTCCTAGAGGGCAGAGCCGCTGCTCAACGTCAGTGTTTATGCAAAGTTCAGATGCTTGTCCTCCCCTCCTTCTAGATCCAGAAGGAGGATGGGATGCTCAGGAAGCGTGAGCCTTAACTTTCCCGGTGGAAAGAGACTTGGTCATCTTCTCCCTTTGGCCAGACCATCTCTTCCTTTAAGCAAGGAAGCTCAGGTCGTCCCAGGAAGTCCTGATGGGCAGGAGGTAAAAGGTAGCTAAATGCAAAGCCCTGTGCGTTTGAACCAGTAGCTCTGAAACATAGCCAATAACACACCTGGGGCAAGGGAGCGAATTCTTCTGAGCATCTTACTTAAATTTTCTTCCCCAGTAACTTATTTTTATCTGCAAAACCAGGATTTTTAAGTCCACCTTTTAAAGGAGGCTCTGAGGGTAAAATAATAAAGCAATGTAATGCTTAGCACATAATAAGAGCTCAAAAAAAAAAAAAAAACCCATTTATTTTCTTTCTCTGCAAAACCAGGATTTTTAAGTCCACCTTTTAAAGGAGGCTCTGAGGGTAAAATAATAAAGCAATGTAATGCTTAGCACATAATAAGAGCTCAAAAAAAAAAAAAAAAAACCCATTTATTTTCTTTCTCTATTCATGGTAAAAATCAGTAAAAGCATTTTAAAGATCTCTGGGAAGAATATTAATGGCAAGATAGGCTTTCTAAGCAAGCTACTGGCGCTACATAAACATTCCTCTGCAAATCTCTGCAGCAGCTCTTCAGCGTTCATTTATTTCTGCACATGTAAACATTATAACATCAACTGCAATTTTTATCTAATTATAGAGCTACTCAGGCATCAGGGATTCTGAATTTTCTTTTGCATTGTTGATGCACGTGAGGGGCAAGGAAACCTTTCATTTCTGAAATCGAGTCTGAAAATGAATGACAAAGAATTTGTAAACAGCTCTATCCAAAACATTTCTAGGCCTTAAGTTCTAATTTGCAGTATGTCATTAAAACAGGGTGCGGGCTGGTATCATAACTGGGCATTTGCTGGGGAGACAGGGATCTGGGAAACAAGCGAAAAGCCTATGGTGGCTGGTGGTGCAACAGGAAAACAGAAATGCAGACTGAAAGATGACATTCGTACCATACTTTAGAACTGGCAAAGAGTCCATGAGTCCAGAGGTATATCTGATCCTCGTAGCAACCCTGATAGGTCAGTATTTGTAGCCTCTTAACTAGGTGGAAATATGATGAATCAGGAAGGGAAAGGGAGTCAGAATTTATCAAAATGGGTACGGCTCATTTGATGCTTATAGCAACCCTGGGAAGCTGGCATTATTTTATAGATGAGAAAACAGGCTTCAGAGAGGTCAAGTATAATACATACAGGCAGCCGGTAAGATGCACAGAAAGAATTAAGATCCTGTGCCTCTTTCTTTCCTCTCTATTTTCCCTCTCTTGCTTGCTCCCTCTCTCTTTTCCCTCCTACCCTTTCTTTCTCCCTTTCTCCCCTCCTTCCCTCCCTCTCTCTCATTACCATGCATGCAGACTTAGATATACTGTTCTCTAATTACAAAAGGTATCTTCTGGTCTTTCCTCAGTTTCCCCTTCTGGGAGAGGAACAGCTGCAGGCATGCGGAAATTAAAGGAAAGAGCCAGGCAAAGCACTGTCTTTCTTTGCCAGGGTCCATTAATTTTTGCTTTGGGCCTGGGAATTCACCGTGGTCATATGAGCAAAGATTGGCTCATCTGCTAAAGAGTCCATGACGGAAGAAAGGCAACTGCAAGGCACCTACCATCTGTTCAGTCTCAGAGAATCAATCAGAAATAAAGTGAGTTGGAGAGGAAAAGCGCTCACAGTGAAGAAAGGCTGGGCTGTCTGGGCCCAC